TCAAGATATGTTATTTTTAGTCCATGTACAGAATTAAGTAGAAGTGATAGCTGGGTATAAAGAGCATCCTAGAGGAAGGTGTGCCACCTCACTCCCTTGGAATCTAGTCCATGTTCCCTTGATAATAGCATGTTTTCTGTTTTCTTTCTCTAGCTTCTTCCTTCTCCTGAACTCTAGAGAGAAGCAGCCCTATATCTGGCTGCACGGCCCAGTCCCTGGAGATCCTTGACCTTTTCCATATCTGAGATGCTACAGAAGTCTGGCTTTTTTAATGTCTCATGAAGTCCAGCATCTGATCTTTCAAAACTTCCCCTGGTGATCCTTGTTCTATTAAAACTGCTAGTTTACTAGTTCAGAGCACTGGCTACACAAATTCCACGGCCTGAATTCAAACTCAAATCCACATCAAAGGAAAGAGCTGAGTCCACAACGTTGTCTCTGACATCCCCGCATGTGTACTGTAGCACATGTGCATTCCTACATCTACATTATGCAACCTCACCCAATGAATACAAAACACTTTAAAAACCAAGAAAGTCAAGGTCTTGAGAGGTGCAGTTATGGTGCTTTCTTCAAAAGCAGGGGATTTTGAGTTCAGACTGCCAGCAAGCACATAAAAAGCTGGGTACAATGGTCCTGACTATAGTGTCAGCTCAGAGAACTAGAGACTGGATTATTCCTAGAGTGCAATGATCATCAAGCTAGCCAGAAATATCACACTGTAGGTTAAATAAAAAAAATTGTCTCAAAATATTTTTTGGAGAGTGTTTGAAAAAGATCCCTGATCTCAAACACATACATGTATAAACATACACACACACAGATACATACATACATACATACACACATACACACACATCAACAGTTAAACACAGAAAGATATGGATAATGATATTGGAAAGGTTCCAAGCTCAGAATTCGGGTATGACCAGATAAGGGAAGGCTCAGGCTCCTACATCTCTACCTCAAGCATCTCCTCTGACGCTCAGCATCTGTAATGAGGCTAGATGATGGACTTGTGCTTAGAGCAAACTTCTACAGCCTTTGTGTATAACCTCCTCCACAGTCATCTATGACTAGCCAAGTGCTTGGTTCCTGGGTACTAGCCAGATACTGCATGGTGAATCATACTTCCTCTTCCAGCCCAGTCAATAGTTTGCTTTCAAATACAGCTTCATGTGTTATGGAGATATATTCAAATTAGTATGCAAATGAAAGCAAAGCAGACCTACAGTTGGATTGCACCTCAAATGCTCTTTCAAAATATCAAATGTTCATCCCTAGGAATCAGTTGACAGAAGCCTTAACTAATTAGCACAGTCACCATGTCCAAAACCCAAATCCTACCTTGTCTGTGATAGCTGTCCATGAGAGAAGTTGGAGCTACCAGTTGGAGAAGCTTCTGGGTCTCCCCTCCACAGGAAGCAGATGTTGAAGGAGCTGTGCACATGGTGGGTCTGTGCCATCTGGGCTTCTCTGAGCAGATGGGGCACAGCTACCCTGGTGGGAGCACAGCTGGCTTTAAGCCTTGGTACTGAGAATGCCCTGTGCAGATTCTCCACACGGAAGCTGCTCACTGTGCCCTGATGACTCAGAGCCAAGTAGCCCTCTTTCTACCTTCCTCCCAGAGGGCTTCATCGTGAAGGCTCCAGGGCCTTCTGCTAAGTCCTATCTAGTGATCCTTGGCTGTCTCTGCTTTCTCTGCTGATCCTTTGCTGTTGATCCTATCGTTCTGTCCTTTGGGGTGATTATCACCAGTGGAAAGGACCGAGGAGCCCTGCTTTTAGGTTCATATGGCCCTCTGAAAATTGTTCCTCTATCTTGGCCCTTCCTAAATTAAATACCCCTCATTGTTCTCCATAATCTGCACTAGTGATTTGTATCCTGGCTATTCATTGGACTCTCTCTCTCTCTCTCTTTCTCTCTCTCTCTCTCTCTCTCTCTCTCTCTCTCTCACACACACACACACACACACACACAAACACACATAGACACATTATATATGGATTCTTTTTTTTTGTGTGTGTATGGTAGGAGATAAGAGTCAGGGAAAAGTAAGTCCATGTGTTCCTGTGTGAGTTCGTGGAGCACCTGTCAGTGGTGTTGGGACTCTAGAGTACACATGGAGAGTCAGAGGACAATCTTTTTGTCTTGCTCATTTCCTTCCACCTTGTCATGAGGAAAGGTCCGAGACTCAATGTATCAGTGGGGTTAGCTGGCCTTCAAGTTTTGCAGATTCTCCTGTCATCCCTCAGAGGTATACCAGAATTATAAATGCTGGTGCCACTGCCTTGAGCTTTTCGCTGGGTCCCAGGGATTTTTGCTTGTGAAATGCAGGGATCTGCCCCTGACCTACTCCTCAACCCCATCTAGTTCATGAGGTTTTGTTGTTTGTTTGTTCTAGTGAAAATGCCCAAATTCCCTCCACAGAGATTCTAAGGAAGTTGATTTGAGTAAAATATTCTTTAGAACCCTGTTTCAAAGGCTCTTGCTGGACTCTTCTTAGCCTGGCATCCAAGGCCTTGTTCATCTCTTTTTCATTTTTCTTTTTCTATTTTCCATTATCTATTTCTTTGTTGTCTGAGCAGATAGCTGTGTCCTAGAATTTTTGCTCACTGGACTGAACTGTTTCCTACCTACTCAGTGAAACATTCCTAGACTTCACATACAGAGGCAGTAAGTCCTCTTTCTTCCTTGCCTGTCATCATTGTCTCACCTAGAGCTGGAAGTTTGAGACTATTTGTTGTTGGGTTGATTTTGCTTCGATTTTTTGGCATATATTAACCTACATGTAATTGGTTTCACTATAACATTTTCACGCACATGTATATTATACTTTGACCATATTCACCCCTTTACACTCTCACTCTTTTTCCTGGCCCCCTAACTTGTATTGGTCCCCTCACTTTCCAAACTAGTCCCCTTTCTATTTTTATGGGTCCAGTTTCAATAACTAGTGAGTTTTATGGTGTTGTGTACAGGAGTACAGGTCAGGAGTTACAGGTTCTAAGATAACTTAATAGTGACTGTACTACTGAAGAAAATGACCTCTTATCCAGCAATGATTAACTGAGTAGAAATAATGATGGGTTGAATTGTCACAAGTTTCTCACACTCTCTGACAGAGTATTGGTGAGCCAAATTTTATGTAGGTTTTATGTGGGTAATCGTAGCTCCTGTGAGTGCAAACAGCAAGGTTATGTCCAGCGTCAGTCTGAATGTCCATTGTCTGGCTTGTTAATTTATCTGTCTTCCTCATTTGTATATTGTCAAAGGATAGTGTTTTTATTCTTTGTACAATTACCCCTACCCTTTAACTGTGGCTCATTCCAAAATACAAAGGAATATGTTATTATCTGTACTTTTCCAACCCTAAGGGTGACTTTGATTCATGGTTTTGCCTATCAGTGTTAGTTCATAGAGTGCCAAAATACTTAAGCATACAATTATAGTAGTAGTTACAATCCCTAGAGCCATCCTTAAGCACAGTACACCCTTTTGCAGGCGAGGAAACTGAGACAATTGGAAGGAAAGCAGCTCAGTGCACAGCCAGGCAAGCTGAAAATCGTCTGAATGATGAACATGTATAGTTCTGTGTCATTGTAGCCTTAACACTTGATATAGCTGTCTTTTTGAGCGTTCAGTGGGGGCATAATCAAGCAGAAGTCTCCATAGATGGAAATTTTTGAGTGGAATTAATTGGCCCTTCATGATTAATTCCTAATGCAGCTCCCTTAGTAAGGTAGGTCAGTGTTGCAGAGCAGCTGAAAGAGAGAACGAGTAAAGCATTAGGAGCGTTTGCTTTTAATAAGCCACCTCTTGCCCTCCAAATGCTCTGGGATTGTCTTCTAATCATGTTTGATACTTTAATACTGATATCAAATTGGTATCATGAGTTCGATTCCTGGATTCAGGTAGTGGAAGGAGAGATTCAATTCACACAAATTGTCCTTTGACCTCCACATATACACCTCCCCCACATACACCTGTACAGTCAACTAAATATATTAAAATTGCTACAGTTGGTATTGATTTAATCTGGCCCTGACTACGGTAAGAAACTCTGCCTTGCAATGGGGTTGGCCTTGTCCACTTCAGTAATCTGACAAAGTAGAAGTAAGCAAACGTGTGGAGAATGAGACAGTGTGGGACATGGAGAAGGCTAGTAGGATACCGAAGAGGATTGTTCAAAGCATATTACAGTCTTAAATGAAACCACACTAGTGCAGTTGTGGTGATTAATGTTAGCTGTCACCTTGATGGGATCTAGATCACCCAGGAGCAAGCCTTCAGGCACACTCAAGATGGATTGCAGAAACTAAGGTTATACTGAGAATATGTATGAGGGACTCCCTTGACCATAGTAGTTGATGTGCAAAGACCCATCTAAATGGAGGGAAGAACCATTGCCTGGACTGGGGATCTGATCCTGAGCTGTGCACAGTGGAGAAAGCAAGCTGAGTAGCAGTGTTTTCATCCTTCTAGTTCCCTAATTGTGAAAAGTCAAGTTTCTGCTGCTTGATTACCCTGTCACTGCAGACTGTATCCTTGAACTGTGAGATGAAATAAACCCTGTCTTCCTTGAGTTAATTTTGTCAGGGTATTTTGTCACAGCAACAGAAAAAGAAATGAAGACAATTAACCCTCAATAATTAAATAAAAATTTATCAGAACCAGTGCATCCAAGTGGTAGAGGGTATGCATCGGATATGTGCTAGGTCCTAGTTTTGATTCTTGGAATCATCTCTTAAAACAATTATTTCTGGGGATATAATTGCTGGTCTCATTTTGAGGATTGCTTTTTTTCTCTGCAGTCACTAATCACCATCCTAATTAATATATAACTTGCATTTGTTTAGCACAGATGCCCCACGTATTTAGGTTTGTCCCCTTTGTTTCTTAGCCAAAACTATCAGAAATGGCTTAGGAACAGAGACTAAGTTGTAAGTCAGAAGAAAGAGATGACCCTCATGAAATACCCGTCCCTGTTTCTTTTGCAGGCAGTTACTTGAATGATGGCCTGTGGCATTCTGTCAGCGTCAATGCCAGGAGAAACCGGGTCACTCTCACACTGGATAATGACGCCGCTTCCCCGGCTCCGGACACCTCCCGGCTGCGAATTTATTCTGGAAATAGTTACTACTTTGGAGGTAAATTCCCTAGCTTTTGAGACCTCAAATAAAAAGATAGGGGAATTATTCACCATGTGCTTTGTTAATTAGGCTATCTTCCCCACAGCCCTGCATGCATACATGCATGCACACAAGCAACAAACAGTGAGAAACCAAAACATCAGGCAACTGTGTCACCTTAAACTAATCTAGAGCAGTGCTGAGGACAGAAAAGGCAGGGGTTACAAGAGCTTGGTTACATAACTCAACAAGGGAGTTGCTGTAGCCGTGCCAAGCTGCTTGGTCACACTGGAAAGAAACAAGTCAGCTGAAAACTGAGAGAAAAGGAGTTGAGAGTCAGAAAGTACCTGCAAGTGGGAAAACTCAAGAGGGAGGCACCAGTGGCCTACTCAGTCATCTATGTTGCTCCACTGCCTCTCTTCCTTGTGAGCCTTATTTCCCCTTTCCCATACCTTGGAGTTCAGCCACACTCAAGAAGGAGACAGAGAAAAGTGTATAGGAGCTAGGGGCTCCAAACGAAGCGCCATGGCTGCTTTTTCTAATGTTTTCTAAACCCTTGCACTACTTCCAGAGACACAAACTAAAGTAAATTGAGATGACCTATGTGACAGCTTAACATTTTTATAAATACACCTATGTTGATTATTTTTCAGTTTTTATTTATTTTTCTCTCATACAATATATACCATGACATGTTGAGTATTTCAAGTGTATCTTTTATTAGAAGAGAAAGAGATAGTGCCTATTTCTGTAGTCATGGTCTGTTTACAGAAGCCACATCTAAAGGGCACTTAGACCCCACAGCTCTCTGATTTTAAGCTCTTAAAATACAGTCATTGTACTCACTTTCCTAAAACACAGAGAACAATTTCAGAATTGCTGGGAGATAGAAACAGGAGCAGAATACAGGCTTAGTGAAGTTTGTGGTGGAGGGCTTACTCAGTGTGTAAACGGCATTGGTCTCCATGAACAGATTCACACCCAAACCTCAAGCATGTTCTTCACACAGCACACATACACACCCAACTCCAAAGCCCCCCGTGCTTCCCCCAATACAATTGAGAGAGTGACACAAACTGGTTGGGATCTTGTCAAGGGGAGCATAAAATTACCCTGCCCTAGACCTGACTGTTCCTTTTTATAAGGTAGCTGAAGACTAGCACTGAAAAATAGCATTTACTGAAGAAATGGCAAGATGTCTCCCTAGGCAAAGGCCCTTGTTACTCAAACCTGAGGACTTGAGTTCTATTCTTAGAACCTGGAGTGGGAGAAGAGAACTGGCTCCATAAAGCTGTCCTCTGACTTTCATACATGCATGGATGCACATGCTCGTCTGCACTCTCTCTTTTTCATAAATAATGATGATGATGATGATGATATCAATAAATTACACCTGGAGTCACCCAAATACTAATCATACATTCTACACTGAGCTACACCAAAAACCCTGTAGTCCCTTACCTCCAAAATCTACAAATCATCCCTTTCTTCCCAAGGAAAAACATGGAAGGCTTGAAACACAAAAGGGTCTTTGCATAGGTACAGAATTCATATGTAGGATCTCCTTGGAAGGAAGCAATGTGGAACAAGATCAGTGAGGTTGGATTTTAGTATGAGGAAGCCCCACTGTCCTCCCCCTACAATCACTACTACATTCACAGCCATGGCATACATGTTTAAGTGATAATATTTCCATATAAGATATAACAAGACTGCTGTTTGTGGAAATAAAACAATCAGTCAGTTGTCAAGACAGCTCAGTCATAAAGGACTGGCTGTGTAAGCCTAAGGACCTGGGTTTCAATGTTTGGAGCCCCTGGGAAGCCAGTCTCTGTAGCACTTGTCTGTAATCTCCAGGCAGCTCATGCCAGTGAACCTGGTGTACACAGTGGCAAACCAAAGACCCAACCTCAGACAAGTTAGAAAGTGCCAACTCCTGTAGTGGTCCTGTAATATCCATGCATGGGCTGTGGCATTTGCACACCCAAACTCATATACATTGTCACTCAAAGGTTAAGAAAATCAAATAATCTGTAGATGACTATAGAGACAGCATATGTATGGAGAAGGCTCAAATCTGTCTTCACTGTAGACCCCTAGTGAAAGCAAATGAATGGAACAAGTGCAGAGCTGTGGTCTCAACTCAAAGCTGAGGATTCTGAATCACATACTATATTTTAGCAATGGAGAAAGAATAATGGTCAGGAATTTATTTTCACGCAAAATGGCTTTGAATAATCATGTTACAATAATCATCTAAAATATCACAGAGGCAAAATGGCTCTCCTCCCCTAGCTAGAATAGTGCTAAATTCTGGGTGTGTTTCCAGGGGTGCTATACTTAGAATGTGAAGATTTATCTATGATTTGAACAGTGTTTAAACAAACCCTCACACACAGACTGTAAACTTAAGGAAGGTGAAAAACGAGCTTCAGCAGTAATCGTCAACTTCCATAAATTCTCTCTACAGCTTCAATTAGAAGTTGTAGCATCTCTTCATTTTATAGTGTGCCTGTGAGCTGGTAACCAGCTGCTGGGCTTCAGCCCTGCAGTGGCTGTCTATTAGCGATGGCTGAAATAATTCCCCATTATTTATGGCTTATTGCTGTGTTTTTAGGCTCCATTCCCATATGCTCTGAACCTTTTAAAACCACTGAGATGGAGTTTGTAAGAGCACACATACTTGTCTCCCTGCTTGGTCCTCACCTGTCTTAACCGGGAGTACATTGTCCTGGCAGCAGGTGATGCTAAACAGGGCAAAGCGTTTTATCTCTATAGAACAGTCATTAAGATGTGTGGGGTTAACCTTCTGCGTGTGCTGTTACAGCCTGTAACTGCACACTTAAGCAGGCAGTTCTCTTAATGTCTGGATTTGCTTTGCACAGCATGTCAAAATTCCTGCTTGGCTTCTGAGAGTACCTTTCTCGTGAACTAAGCCTGTTAATGCTCCACAATTAACCAGACAATTACTTTACTGCCATCCTTAGCAGAGCATGATTTCCTTAGAAAGAAAGTGTAATTCAGAATTGCATTGTGAATTTTGATGTGTGTTTTGAGACAGAACCAACATTTCCAAGCACTTACAATATGTGAACAATATATGAAGGATGTCATTCAAAAGAAAGACAAATTGCTTTCCAGCAGAAAAAAAGTGTGTGTGTGTGTGTGTGTGTGTGTGTGTGTGTGTGTGTGTGTAAGACTCAGTTAGTAAAATGCTTGCTAAGTAAGCATGGAATTCTAATTTTGAATTCTCAGTATCTATAAAATACTGGGCAAGGCATGGAATACCTTGAATTCCAGTGCTGAGATAAACTGACTCCTGAGGCTCACTGATGACCCAGCTAATCCAAGTCCAGGTTGGGTGAAGGGACAGTGTCACAAAAAGCAAAAAGAAAAGTGAACGCAGATTCCTGGGGCTCATGACCAAAGTCTAGGTAAATTGTGGAGCCTTTGGCTCACAGAGAGATCTTATCTAAAAGATTAAACGGAAAGTGGTAAGACATACTAATATGAACCTCTGCCTTCTACAGATGCCCACATGAAATAATGCATCTGCAGGCATACCACACACACACATACACACACACACACGCACACATACACGCATACGCACACTCACACACACACACACACACATGGGTGGAGTTAAGGTAACTGTTATACCAATGATATTCCCTTTGGCAATTTTTTTCCTTTATAGTGACTGAATACACCCATTTTGCATCATTTCTGCCCCTCCTCTTGAGCCTGGATTTACAGCAAAAGTGTCCCCTGTTGAGAATAAAAAAGTGCCCAAATAATTAGAGCTCAAGATCTTCCATCAATAGGTTGCCAAAGCAATGACAGATCATTTCAGTGTTCTTCATCTTTTCTCTCTGTCCCACAGGGTGCCCTGACAATCTCTCCGATTCCCAATGCTTAAATCCCATTAAGGCTTTCCAAGGCTGCATGAGGCTCATCTTTATTGATAACCAGCCCAAGGACCTCATTTCAGTTCAGCAAGGTTCCCTGGGGAATTTTAGTGATTTACACATTGATCTGTGTAGCATCAAAGACAGGTAATTATTGTCTTGTCTCCTCTGTTCTCCCACCCCTTCCCGTTCTCCTGTTCTAAATATGAGTTTCTTTAAGCAAAATTCTAATCCGCTGACATTAACCACATTAGACATAATTGAGTCGCCTAATGGAAAATATTTCTGAAAGGATTTCAGGCCCAGAGAAAAACAGTTTAAATTAGTTGAGTCTCTCTCTTCATGTTGACTTGCAGTAAATGGGATATGCAAATTGAATCAAAATACAAATTTGTGAAAGGATTAAAATTTTATGCACAAACAGCATTTGATTACTTTGAAGTTAAGAGTAAAGCATGAAAGAGGGGGGAATTACTTCTCCCCTAAACCATTTCATTCTTCGCTGTGGGTATCCTTCCTAAAATGGCATAAAGCTTTAGGAAATCTACTGCTAAGGTTTGGCTGTGCTCAACGTGAATGTCCTCAGTTTGGGATGGCTGGTATAACTGCCACCAACCCCACCCACTGTTTCTTTAGCTCCAAAGAGACCAGACCGTACGACAGTGAGAATGAGTTCTTTAATTTTGCAACCTAAAGATCTAGCATGACAGTCAGTTTTCAGTTATATCTCTCCTGAAATTTGACTTCTCTTCTGTTGGAAATTTCTAGATTTGAAGTCAGAAAACCAAAAACAATAGATGGTAAATTTCAGCAGGATTTTGCCATATTCCTACTGTATCACCTACCTGCCTCATTCTTCGAATTCTGCTTAATCCTTTGAGATATTAATGGGCCAGTAGGGAGATGAGATTAAGTGTTTACATATGTGTTAGTATTAGAGGTTCTTGGCTATATTAACTAGTTGTTGCTGTAAACTCAAATATACCTATTTTAGAAACATTGTCACTAGTAAGGACACATGATTCCAGTAAGTTGATACCACTGTGACAATAAGGAATGAGACTGAGGAAGTTTGGGAATGTGATTGAATCATGTCTTAAAGGATAAGGCAAAATCATGCTTGGCAAAGTTGACGGTAGGCAAAAGATGGTAGGAAATAGCGCCACAGAACTGTGTGGAAAATATATGGCTCACAGTGTTATCAATTCAAAATGCTTTGAGTTTGCATTTAGAATCTCTAGTACTGGGATACATTTTATAACTAATAGCATATAATAATTTCCTTGACAAAACTTATTTCCTGAATAACAAGTAACCAATGCCTTGTCTTGCAATTTACTATGTCTTACTTTCTGCTGCTGCAGTTCAGTACATAGGTGTTGCAGAGAAGGTTCATGGCTTCCAAAAGGCTGGGGTGTGGACATGGAATCACCACAAAGAGGGCTTTTGTACTTGAAGAATTTGGTTCTATGCTCTGTGTGAGAACAAAGAAGGAACACATCTGATTTGGTGGCTAGAGCCATGTCTTGAAAAAATGTAGGGCAGAGTTAAGGGAGTTCGGGAGTGAGTGTCCCAGTGCATAGGAGAAACAAAGAAAACAGTCAGGTACCGATACTGCGGGACATAGGAAATAAGCCATAGGGAACATGGTCTTTGCTAATTCTGGAAACCGTTGCTGTAATTAGATGAAGCCTAGCACACATTTCTGATAATAAATACCATTTCACATGCAATCACCTCTACACCATACTGACTTCTCTTTTTGTTTTCACACTGACTTTTTGATCCTTGAGCTTTTTTTTTCATTTGACCAGCTGTGAAAGTGGATAATAAAATGTGTGTTTCATTAAAATGTGCTAATTTAGAAATCTCCAAACCAAAGCTATTACAGGGAATGGCTACCACCCCACGTTTTTATTCCCGGCAAGGGAGAAGCTTCCAAATCCATCAGCTGGTGCAGTATTTTATGTACTGCAGATCAATACAGGACATTTGTCATTTGGGATCTCTTTGATACCTTAATATACAATCAAGAAAGCTCTCATTGTTTTTGATTACATGAAAGTCATTGCCATCTACCCTGCACCATTACCTTTGTGTAATTGTAGTCTTGAGTAATTATATTACATACAATTGTGTTTTGGTTAATTGTATAATGAGGAATGTGTTTCATTTAGTGGGTAAAGGATATGTTTCTGTTGATTCGCCGTCACTTTCTATAACAAAAAGGAAAAGTGCACCAAAGCTTTGGTCTCTTACTGATGTAATTTACTTGTTCGACATCTGCGATGAGTGGGGAGAGAGGAGGAGGCTTACAAAGGCAAGTGTTTCCTGAGATTTGTGTTTTCTTTTCCTTTTTGTGATAAAGATAAGTGTCAAAGTAAAAGTGCATAGATATGTGAACCAGGAGAAATAATACATGTTTAAATAAAGCGGCCAGAGGTCAGAGGTCAGGCAAGGAGCTAAAAGCCTCATTGCTTGGGGAAGCAGGCACAGGGGCCTCTGGTTGTTCCTAGCCAGCTGACACAGTGAGGTTCAGGTCCATGAAAAAACTTCTCCAGTGTTCTGTTTTTCATGTGTTTACCAATGTGACATTGTTAGCCAGCTGGTATGAAGTTGCTGCTAGGGATGGCAGAGGTTTCCAAACCAGTTCTTCAAGCAGTACTGAGTATCTCTTCTTCTTGGACTTCTGATACTAAGGCTTGCCTTCTGTGTGTGCTTCTTTCTTCACAGTAAAAGGAGACACACCTCCACACCTGGGATTTTATTTCCTTTTTCCCAACTGTGCATCTTACATATTTAAATGTTGTAGTTATGATCAATTTTGGGGGAAATCAGATATGGGAATGTCATTGCAGTCTTCAAGAAAAAAGGCCTCCATTTTCCAAAATCTTAACAGGCTTCTCTAGCAGAGTCTCGCAGGCTCTTTGAAATGGTACTGACAAATTGGTAGGTTCTGCTTGTTTTGAGTTGTTTAAAATCAACCTTTGGAGCATCATTTTATGGCTAGAGAGATGTCTCATTAGCCAAGAGTACTTGATTCACAAGCATGTGTACTAAGTTCAGGTCCCAGCACCCATGAAACAAGCTGTGGGTGGTAGCATCACTGTAATCCTAGTGCTGTGGGGCGGGGGTAGAGCTGGAAGGTTTCTAGGGCTTGTTGGTGGCCTGCCTGGTTATAAAAAGCAACAACAAAAACAACCTATCTACTGTAAGTTCCATGTTCAAGAACGAAACCCAACACAAAAGAATAATGTGAAGAGCGATGGAGGATGGTACCTGACACCCACCTCTTGCCTCCACACTTGTGCACAGTGTGCCATACGCACACAACAACAACAAATAATGTTCAGAAACTGACACTGAGTTTTATTGAGCTTTCTGAAATGCCAGGAAAATTTTGGATGTCACAAGTCCCATTTCCTGTGGAGGGCCCTCATATAGCAACACAATTGAAGTAGGCTTTGGAATATCATCCAGTCCTAGTCCCAAACATACAGAAATGGAAATTACATGGAGGGTACAAAGTCAATTACAGAAGAAGGCTACTGTATCCTAAGGAGATTTTCTTCTTATTCCCTTTGAAAATGCTTTTCCCACTGGGTGGATCACACACATAACTGTGTATTCAGCTTCCTGCTGCCAAATTTGTCGTTAAACACTGTTTCCCCCTCCATATCTGGTTCTTTTCCTCCTAGCACATTTTCTACTAAGAAAAGCATGTGTCTTGCTCTTTGGTCAAGATTCTTAGCTTCTCAGCTTGAGCATGCGGAGCCACAAACACAGAGGAAGAGAAAACATTATGTTGGATAACCTCCACAAACAGATTCTTGATACAGCCCACCCCATGTGTGGGTGTGTGTTAAAAACAGTCGCTAGTATAAAAAGATTGCTTTGCTGGGTAATACATATGTCTGAGCTCTTATGTAAACTGAAAGCCTTCATGTCAGGTGCCAGGAGAACCATGGAAAGGGCAATGCCCACACAATCTGAGTTCTTCTCCCTAAGTGAGAAATGCTACAATATGGTATTCTCCCTTCATGCGTGAAATGAGGCCAAAATCAGAATGAGAGCATCTCTGCAGTTTTTTTTAAAACCCATTTTTGCCCTGTTTCATGGACGAAAAGGAAAGGTTGTGGTTTATGGAGTAATTTCTGAATAAGCAATCTTTAAATATTATTTCCTTTGACTCTCTCCACAGTCCTAAAAAGCCCAAAGTAGTTCTTCAAGTGAGGCCAAAGCACAACATCACAGTGCACAGTGCAACTTGTTAGAAGTAAACTTTCTAGGCTAGGACATAGTTCAGCAGTTAAAGTCCTGACTATTTTGGGAGAGCATCAGGTTTGAGTCCCAGTACCTATGTTGGGACCTCACAACCACTTGTACCTCTAGCTCCAGGAGATCTGACTTCCTCTTCTGGTCTCCTTGTGTGCTTGCATTCCCATGCAAAGTTCTACACTAATACATACCTACAGTTAAAAAAAAAATCTTAAAGGACTTAGTTTACGAGAACAGGCACAGGGACATGGCTGCAGTTTTAAGAAATTCTGGTAATTCTTAGAGAAACACACATTTGAGATTCATGGGGGTTGTTGCCAATACCCAGAGAAGCTCACCAAATGCTTGGTCAAGGTCACATGTTTAGTAATCATTGGTGCAAGATTCTACCCTAGTGTTTGCCAATTCCAGAGTTTATGAAAGTGTGCAGGGCTTGTTGCTTAAATTTGCAAAAAGAAAAAGGACTTGGGTGGCCAGAGCATGTAGAGGAAGGTGCCGCTAAGGAAGGAGGAAGCTGAGGAGTGGGCTAGATTTGGAGAGGTCAAGGAGCACAGCCTAGGCATTTGTTGTAGATAGCACAGTGTAGGGCTGAGAGTACAGGAGGTGTTGTTGAGTACCTGTGTGCATGATCAGAAGGCTGTACCTGGTAATAACAATACCTAGCAATGAGTGGGAACCAAGACCGGAGGGACTTGGAGAGTAATAAAATGTCTACAATCTGACTAAGAGAAAAATGAATAGCTTAGCTTTAAATAATACTTGCTATGAGTCAGTAAAAGTGTGTGTGTGTGTGTGTGCATGTGTGCATGTGTGTGTATATGTGTGTATATGTATGTGTGTGTGCATGCAATTCTAACAGTAGGGTTCAT